TTCCATTTCTAACAATTTACACATGAATTTGTCTATGTGCACACACACACACAGGTCTGTAAANAATAAACATTTATTAAGCTGTAATTTTCACAATATTTTTAATTCTGTTCTGAAATCAGTCTACAAATATCTCTACATAACACCAAAGCCAGTTATTTAATAAATAACAGGGATGTATGTATCACTGTGCAAAAAAAAAATAAGCCTTATACATTTATGTCTATATATGATATTTGTAGAATCAGTTTCCAAAGGCTCATGGGACTAACGTGTGCACACACCACATATACACACACCCCACTATATTCAAATCAAATGGATTTATAGTATGTGTCCAATGAAATGCTATATCAAATTCATAACCGGGTACACAAAATAGGAACTGAATCATGAATGCACTGCCGACAATGGGTACTGTACCTCACATATGATTTCCAAGTTATTAAGAGAGAAGTTGCTTTGTTGGATTTGAAGTGAGCGCTAATCACCATCACCATCACAAGAAATCAATTTAATTACACAGTATTCAGGGATTTCACACACATGCAGATATGAAATTGACACTACAGGAAAACCTTTAAATCTGCAAGAAGGCATTAGAACATATGGTCATTAACGCCAGTAGCTGCCACAGGTTTTCAGTAGGATGATGCAAGCGACAATCAGCTTTTTATGATGCCACAAAAGAAAAAGCTGGTCCTGGTGTATCTGCTACGTATCAAGGAATCATTGAAGAGCAAAGCACAGAATTCAGTGCGCCGAACAAAGTCTGTTTATCCCAGACACTGGACATCATACCGGCTGGCTGTCCAGCACGAATTTTAAGGGTACAGTGTTAGAGGCTGCAAAAAATACATAATTCTATTATTCAGGAGGAGCAAAAGTCCAACTACTCACACGGCCATAAACAAAAACTCTGCAGAATAGCAATATGTTATTTTGATAAAAATGAAGTTTAGGAGGGTTGACACCTTAAGGTCACAGGAATTCCTTTTCATTTGAGCTAGCTGGATGGTGAGAGCTGGCTCTTTGGTTAAGCCAGCCAATTCAGAACCCAGCAGGGGGACGTTACTGGGCATCAGCCCATAAGGTAGGTGTCATTTATCAAAAGCATCTTAAGAAGTAGCAGGGAGCAGGGAAATGAAGCAATTTAGGACCAGGTGTATTAACGATGTTTTAGAGCCTGTATTGGCTGCTTGACACATTACTCCTAATCTCTCCACAAGGCTGTTGACTAGGAGACAGACTAACAGCCAGAGTGGTTTACATCCTCTCCACAAGCCAGCCCTCCTGGGTGTGCCAAAGCCACGACCCTCCCAAACACTGATCCAGGCCTGTATGTTTAACACTTCATACCCAATAGGGGATGTGCCACCCAATTCTTTCCACCACCACACTCAGGCATGGTCCCAGTTCCCCTCTCTGCTTCCTGACCCTGCGTGTGGCAGCATTCAGGCAGCCCTGTGTGGCACGCCGTGTCTCTTATCTTCAGGGAACTGTATTAAAAAAAAACACCTTCTTTCCATGGTATTAGCCCCTATGTGTTATCACTCAGTCGCCTTTGTAAACTAAGACCCCAGACCAGCTTTCGAGAAATTCTATTGGTGCTGTACTTTGTTCCCAGAAATGACACTGCAACGTGAAGCAAAAAAAAAAAATCAAAAACAAACCCAAGAGGCAGGTAATGCTGACTGGTATTGGAAACTATATTTATGGAAGGCTTTTGTGCCACAAAAGCATCTCTGCCAGCAAGTCAAGGAAGAAACCGCTGTAAACACTGATCCCAAAACATCCCCCAAAATCCAGTAATTTAGAGATCGTTGGTCCTTTTTCTTTTCTGGACTATTTTCTGTTCTTGGTATTTACTGTGATAATGAAGTACTGGGAAATTAACACTGATTAAGGTAGTTTAAAAACTGAGTCTTAATTATAACAGGTCCACAGCTCTCACCAGGATGTTTTTGTATCACATTTAATGAAGTGCTGCACTGAGATATTCTACAGCCCTGAAGATATAAAAAAA